GAGGGGGAGAGTGAGCGGAGCTGCAGACACCTGCTGGCATTTTGCTTGGACCTGGCTAGACAGATTTTACTTTGGGAAAACGCTTAATACTTTATTACCTGTGACTCGTTTGTGTTCTGACCACATGTGCTTGGCTGTACACTATATCAATAAAGTGTTTAGACTTTTAAAAACACTGTTGTAATAAATTGAGCCACTAAGCATTGTACTTATGACATTTTTCTACAGGGTGAAAACGCGAATGACTTCCAAACACTTCAGATATAGTCTGTATTAATAAATGCAAGGCTATTGATGAAATCCAGCATAACACTGTATGACAACACTAAAGACTACTGTTCTAGAGCCTACAGCTAATCAATCTGTCAGATTATGCTTTCAAGTTCTAAAGAAAAATAGAAACTATAAATGATCCTAAAAAAACAAATAAATGTATAGATATGGTGTAGAAGTTTATAAATTTACTCACATTGGAAACGGAGGCCACGTGAATGGTTTTGGAGCACAATTAAGCACACACAGCATGCCATATCATCTGATAATTGTAAGAAATAAGTCCAAAAGGCAACTGACTGTGTAAAGCCACATAAAACAAAACAAAAATATGATGAATATGCCAAGTTCAGTGGCTAATCTGCCGGAGTCAGCTGAGGTGAAGTGACTACGACCAGCTTGACCTATAGCTGTCCCTCAAGTGGCCATGCCCTTAATGATGCAAACTTAAAATAGCCTAATATAGGAAACGGATGAGTTATAAAAAAGTTCACCCCCCTCACAGTTGTCATTAAGGGTAATATTAGCTATGAACCAAAATCATTCCTTGTACCAGGTTGTAAACACCTTTTTTTTTTTTTTTTTTTTTTGCTGTAAAAAAATCGGCCATTCTAACAGTGGGCTCAAAATTTGCTCTCCATGTTTATGGAGCCAGGACTAGTGGGAATTCGATGAATAAATTGTAGCCTTCTTAGTTGGTCTCTATCCTAAGCTGATAATCTTAATAGATTTTAGTTAAATTAAAGTGGATATTTACTTGATTGTCTTAATCGTTTTTATTTTTAATTTGTATTTCAAAATCTTTACACTTTCTGATCCTCTCTGGTGTAATGAGCTGCAAACTTCAACATCAACTGTTGAGCAGTGTGGAAGGGTAAATGTTTATTCATTTTTTCTTTATCCCCTTTAAAAATCAGGGGTTGCCACAGCGGAATGAACCACCAAATTAGCCAGCATTTGTTTTAAAAAGCGGTTGCCCCTACAGCTGCATCCCAGTACTGGGAAACATCCATACACACTCATTCCCCTCACATACACTATGGCCAATTTAGATTATTTAGTTCACCTAGATAGTGCATGTCTTTGGACTTTCAAAGAGCACCCAGAGGAAACCCACACGAACACGGGGAAAACATGCAAACTCCTCACAGAAATGCCAGCTGACCCAGCCGGGGCCCAAACCAGTGAACTTCTTGTTGTGAGCAACAGCGCTACCCATTGCGCCACCTTGCAGCCCCTAAATCTCAAAATGAATATCTATTTTTTATATTGTACATTGGCTACATTAGTACAATGTTATACCTTTGCAATTATAATTGATTACAGTGACTGTCTTTCAGCTTTTCAATATAACAATATAGGATTGGTATGGGATATAGGATGTTTTTGAGTTTTTTTATATATTCGTATAGACAGCATGTTTAACTCTATAAAGATAGCAAAACTTTTACAATTTTCCATTTAAATTTCTAAACAGCTTCACCTTATGTCTCCAAATAACACTTTTTTCCCCGAATATGATAAGGTAGGTCAAACACTGTGGCACTTTATAGTGCTTTTCTTGCTCATCTTTCTCAGGATCACGCTGACTGTAGTGGCGTCCCCTCAGTGTGCCTTTCTGCCCTGTTTTTAATGACACACTGCTCATCTCTCAGAATCTGCCCTCGCCATTAACCCTGAGACACTTTTTGACCCTCGCACTGTCTAAGGACCTATTAGACGGGGTCTGGTTAAGGGGTTCATTGATGGACGCTTCTACTGTCTCTATTGCCTGCATATATTTTCTGCTCCCCCACACGCACAAATGGCTAAAAATGAAGGGAGGTCATTAGTGACGGCCTTAGAAAACTTTATTATATAAAAACCCTACTGGCAATGGAAATCATATGATACTGTCCCATGTGTCCCAAATGTCCAGTGCTCTGAATGTCAGGCACATTGTATGAATACACATTCATATTGTAATGGCACAAAACTCGATTTATTTTGAAATTAAAAGGTCAGTCAGCAACACACAAGCAGAGCAGGTTTCAGTGCTTGTAACAAATTGACATAGTGACTTTGAATGGGCACAAAATAAAAGACGTGCCAGGGCCCCAGACTAACATGCAGTTGGTGGCACCAGCTGTGGGCTGGGGTAAAACATATTTATTTAAACTTAACGACTACGTCATTATTTGCCATGACTTTGCTTTCAAAAGCAACTTTTGTACTGGTGTCTAGATAGTTTTCTCCAGTTAGCAGACATTTTGAATGTATGTCAGGGTGTTTAGAGAAGCACAGGGCACTAACGAAAGAATAATAATGATAGAAATTGTTAAAATTAAATGGAGTTAAATGACATTTGCAGCTTATTTATCTGACAAAATGAGAAATAAAAGAAGACAAATAGTAATGGTAATGTTAATAACAAAAGTATACATTCTAAAAACTAAATTGAAATTTGATTTTAAATAAATAAATAAATAAATAAATAAATAAATAAATAAATAAATAAATAACATTTTAATTTTAAATAAAAAATAAGGAAATGATTAATTAAATAAACAAATAAATAAAATTAGATTTTAAAGAAAGAAAGAAAAAAAGAAACGAGTAAATAAATAAATAAATAAATAAATACATTTTGATTATAAATAAATAATTGAATAAAAATTAAGTTTAATTGGATTATAAATAAATAATTGAGTAAATAAATAAATACATTTGATTGTAAATAAATAAATAAATAAATAAATAAATAAATAAATAAATAAATAAATAAATAAATAAATAAATAAAAAATTGATTATGAATAAACTGTGGTAATAAACTGTCAGCATATATATTTAAAAAAAAAAGGTTCACACTTTGATGCTTAATTCTATCTGGCATTTTTTTAATTTATTTAACAATTTAATAGTGTTTAACAATGTAATAGTGTTTAATTTAATAGGTTAACTGCATATGTATATATGTATGATAAAAACTGATGAATACTGCTGGTCCAGGAGCTCTGCTACATGGTGACGTATACTTGTGCAGTACTGTCAGAATTAACCCGAATGTAAGAATCTTTATACAGTCTATGGTAAGAATAGCGGGCTATTTAATAATGCAGCATTTAGAATTATTATTTTAGTATTCTTCTGTTTCAAGTTAATTTATAAATGATACGTTTATATAGCAAACTTGTGAATTTCTGGACTTTTCTGGAGAGTGAGTGTCAATGACAAATAGAATCTACTATAAAACGTGCATTAAAGTGAAAATAAAGCCAGTAATTTCAATATATATTAAACCTGTTGATAAATATAGACTCTTTATTTTGTTTTATGTCATGAAATACATAAATAGGAGCACTTGTGTTTACCGTTTAGTTCATTTTAGGTCACTACATTTTCCAGCAACACAACCCGCTCCCACCTGTCCTCACAGATCATTATCCACATAGTTGATTTTCAGAGGAGGAAGCACTGGTATTGACATGATCACACAATAGCCTCTGAAAATTAGCACCAGCAGGAAAAATGGTAGCAAAATGTGAGTACTTGGTTGCAGACAGGAGCCCTGTTGCCCAAAAAAAGACATAGCAACTTCTAGGGCATGCTAACATTGTATCTTTGTGAATACCTCATGTATAGATTTAGAAGTCTTGCTAGTTTCACGGGCTGACAGTTAAAATTCTATTTGCATTCTTAGCTTTTATTTGTCCTTGGAGATTTAGATCTCTTTTATGTATCTCTCTCCAGTTTTTTGCCAACTTCAGCAACTGTCACTGGACTTTTTTTATATTCACCTGCCAGAGATCAATATGACAGCTCCTGTGGTGGCCGTTTCTTTTTGGCCAAACAAATAAATGTTTGCTTGACTGTAAAAACATCACTTTAAATGTCATGTTTCATCCACACTTTAGTGGTAAGCATTATAGCAGGTTGTTTGCACTGGAGAAGACAGACCCATTGTAAATAGGCCCATGTGTGTGGGCTGTCTCTACTCATAGGTGAAGTTTCTGGGTAAGCAAAGCTGAAACTGTTTTATCGTTGTTTGAGTGTGGCAAGAATATAATCCATCTACTCTTACATAACCAAGATATTCTGTTGCAGCAGATGTTCTCTGATGATCTTATTGTTAATGTGCTGTAAATGGCTGAATTTACTTGCTGTTTCATTGTTTAGTTGAAAGGTTAACAGTGTTATTTAGTGTTATTTATATAATAATTGTTAAAGTTTGTTTCAGACCTATCGTATAATATGGTTGCATCCACCAAGGTTTAAAAGCACTTTGATTTTCTCATAATAACATGCATTAAAAAACTTCAATTCTTTTCTCAAAATGTCTGAAAGTGTTTGTTGAAGGATCAAGCCTCTTTAAACCAAATCATTCCCAGGGCCAGCTTTGCTCTGATTGGCTACTTTGATAAACTTGTCAGACTTTGATTTATAATGGCTTCATGGCTATCATGTTTATGACAGATATATGACAAGTTTTGTTGTCTTGTTAATGTTAAGTTGTCATGACAGAGAAAAGCAGGTTGTAATGTATTTGTTTCATATGACAACTAGACATAAACAATGTTATCTTTGTATCCTAAATGTCAAATGACAATTAATTACAGTTGGGATAAGCATCAGTAAATTCTCATTCACATTCATCTTTAGATAGGTCTAATGAATACTCCTTCAAGTAAAGTGTTACTGTGCACTTTTATATATTCCTTTAATTAATTTAAATCTCTTTCCTTTTAGCTCAGAACTGTTCGGGTCATCGCACATGTGGCCAGTGTCTGGAACAGCCTGATTGTGGCTGGTGTGGAGACCCCACAGACACAGGACAGGGCCAGTGCATTGAGGGATCATACCGTGGGCCAATGAGGAGCCTCAGCAGACAGAGCCGAGAGAGAGTACTCGACACCAGTGTCTGTTCTAGGGAAAAAGGCTTCGACTGGGCCTACATAACCTGCCCAGGTAAACCTGAAAACACACAGGCTCAAACATACAGTGAAAGCAACCTGCAGTTTCCAATATTTCAAGGACACAAGAGCATGACTTTCATTTATTCAGAAGAACAAAATAAATTATTTTAATAATAATATAATAATTTTTGGAAAAAGAACACTGATTTAAATTAAAGAACATTTTCAGACAGTTATTGCTGTTAATCTGGCACTTTGTGGTTATTTATTTTATGAACTGATAGTTGAACCAGCAGCTTAATTTTCTAGTTTTTGCTGACTTTGCAATATAGTGAACTTTTTTTTAAAGTGACTGAAACTCTCTGAGCGAAGGTTGTCCAGATGAAGGCAAAAGCAATAACCATTTCAGCCATTGCAAAAGAGTTTGCTCATTCCAAATGTGAGATTTTCTACAATATTGATTTCTAGAATATATTTGCGGGAATGTTTGACTGCTGTAGGTTTAGTTGAAGTATTTCTTCTACAGTCTTTGTTGTTCTCTTATTTCGATCACTATACAAAACTGTACAAAATAAAGTGTAAGACTTGAAGCTTACACTGCTATTCTGAACCAACAATCAAAAACAGAAAGCAGTCAGAAAGAATCATGTTTAAATCAATTATTTATCTGACTCCATTGTAATTAATTGGACTGTATTAAAGTTGTTATCGTCATTGATAAAGAGAATGAATCTCAATGCCTTAAAGCTTCAAACTTGTTTATTAAGTTACATCTTTAAATATACAGACAGTAGAATGAAAAAAAAAAACAAAAAGAAAAAAAAAACTGACATGCTGTATAAAGAAACTGAGCTTTAACATTTGAACTGCTGTGTAACAAAGACTATAAAACTGCCTTTGTCAGAATTTAAGGCTATAAGCACTGGTGTGTGGAAGAAGCAGAGTAAAAGCCATTCTCCCCGATCAACGATCACCTTTCCTTCTTATACCCTGGGCAAAGCATTGTCACACATGAGTAAAATACCAAGCCCCAAAACCAGCTAAACATAAAAGCAAAGTTGAGGAGATCAAGTGGGGGAGAAATACATTAACATACTCTCCTCAGGCCATGACTTAACAATAGTAAATAGATTGTATATTGATATACATCAATGTCTCTGTTGATTTCAACACTACAGCGCTGAAGTCATAAACTGTCAAATGACACCAAACATGACAAAGTTATATGAAAGAACATCACGAGCAGATGAATCGTGTATGGGGAAAAGCACATGGTTACTGTAAGCAAATGGCAGAGATGTGTATTGGATCTGTGATAAACTCTGCCATGCCAGTAGGACCCATCCCATGCTTAGAATGTCCCCATAGTCCTTCATTACCATTAAAGGAATAGAATATACAACTTTCTCAGCTTACAAAAGTTTTTGTTCAGTGCTTTGGTTATTTAATTAAACTGTCTACTATCATGGTATATTAATTACCTCATTTCTAAAATGATTCAATCACTGATCAAAACCTTTACAAATTATTAATAGTCTAATCTCCTCACATTCTATTTTTCAGCATGCCAGTGTAATGGACACAGTACGTGTGTTAATGGCAGCGTATGTGAGCAGTGCAAGAATCTTACAGCTGGGCTGCATTGCCAGTTCTGTTTACCTGGTTATTATGGAGACCCCACTAATGGAGGGAAATGCCAAGGTAAGATGTTTGTCTTTGTATGTTCAAGGGTTTGTCCCTTTGTCTGTGTGTGCTTGCTTGAATCAGCATTTTAAAAAATCAGTGAGTAGGTTTCTTGAAAGATTGGTTTGTGTACACAAGATTTTGTCCTCATCTGCTCATTCTTCCAAGCATGCATGATTTTGTCCCTCTGTGGAACACAACAGATATGTTTATCAGATAATCCTGATGTCACTTCACATACATTGGAAGTGGATGGTAAACAGGGATCCTGCAGAGCATTCTAAGCAATATATGAGAGAATAGTGTGAAGATAAAAAAAAAAAAGATTACTGGACTTCGTTACATGACTCAACATGAGGAGTAAAGTGATTTGATCTGATTTTGTTAAAGTGTATAACATATTAAACATATAAACATATGTAAACACAAATATATTGGTTATGGTTATCTGGCACTGAGACATGCAAACAAATTATATTGGTCTAATATAAAATAGTAATATAAAAATGTATTAAATTATTAATTGTAGTAGTATATTTAAGTCAAACTAATACAACCACTAGCAGATAATTTTAATATAAAATTGCATAGTAAAAATCACGTTGTTCTGCTGACGTGTGAAATTCAGATTGATGGCAAGAAGTAAAACAACTGAATGGGAGAAATATAAGAAAGTCTGTGATTTTTTTACTATATTTCAAAGGAGATGTTCTGTAAATACAAAATAAGCACATATGTTGGGCATGATCCTTATATTATGAAGAGGGCCGAGTTTTCTACTGAACTATAATAAATTTGCATTTGTCATTGAGGCGGTAGATACTGTATAACATATTATGTTACATGAAAAATACCATAGTAAATACTGTAGTGTTTGGAAGCATACTATATATAATTTCTTGAATAAAACTATAATAGTAATTATGTTGTTGCTGTGGTACAACACAACTGTAGTACTAAAGAAATTATTCAATAGGACAGTTTTTTTTATGCTATAATTTTACACCATCACAAATGCACCACACTAACGTTACAGTATAACAGTTTTCCGGTGAACTGTGCTACACTATCTTGTAGTATTCATTAACAAAGAGTTGTACACATGATTCACTTTACTCTGTGGTTCAAAAACATGTTTATTTCAAATTACTATATGTGAATATCTTCTAGACATCAAGAAATAACAGATGAAGCATACAAAAGCATGGACGCAAAGTCTACATTGTTATTTATTTATTTTTGTAAGGTGGAAAAGTGCTCCACAATAACAATAGTCTAGTTTTTTCTGCAAGTTTCTTGAATTTTCCCCCATTTATAAGAAAAAACACTTTTGTAAGTCTATAAAAGCTGTTTAGAATTATTATAAACAACATAAAGTAGAAGAATCACTTCCTGGCCTCCTCTTGCATTTTGTACGTCATCCATATCATGTGAAAACAACCTATATAAACTAATAAAAATAATTCCAAACATTTATAGAAAAAAACGTTCTTGAAATTCCTTATGTATGCTTGCATTTATTTATTTATTTTCTTTATTTATTTATCTATTATTATTTTTTATTGTTTATGTACTTACATATTTACTTATTTAATTATGAGGTTTACATTTTTTTTTAGGAATTTACTAAAAGCAATAGCAAATTTATCAGATAGACTAGAGCGAAGCACAATTCTTAATTCATTTTTATCTGAATGCGTTTGAACAGGAATGAAATGGATTGAAAAGCAAATTGCAACACAGGCTTATTGTGAAAACGTAGCACTATATATATTTCTGGAGATCGCAAATTATGTAGCCAGTGGTCTGTATGGCTGCATTTAATTTTTTTAAATGAATGCTATGGGTGGTATGGCGCCATTTTTTTACGCTTACCAGCTGACCGCTTACCTCCGTATGGACAGGGTCAATCAATAAAATGGGTTGGGTTGAGAGTAGGAGAAAGGGTGGGTCAGTCGATCCATCAGTCAGCCAGTCAGTCATTCAGTCAGTCAAACAGTCAGTCAACAGTGGCCTCTGGTGGGTTTACGTGAGAATGACACCTGCGAGAGTAATTTGAGATCTCAAAGAGTACATAGCGGCCTCTCGTGGATTGGTGAAAACAAAATCTGCAGAAAAAAAAAAAAAACATCTCCTCTGGGACGTATTTTGCAGTCTCCAGAAATGTATAAAGAGGTATGTTTTCTGAATGAGCCTGGGTTGGCAAATTGCCTTTTTAACACCATTCCAGATTGTTTCAAACCAATTTAACCTCTGGCTCTTGTGTGGTGGCAGGTGTAAATGTGCAGAAATGTGAAAAATGTAGATGGTGCAAGGCAAGATAATGAGTGAGTCTGACCAATTTCAGTCTGGTAGATATGCTCAATAACTCCTTTTCCAGGAAAAGTCAAATTGGTTTGGAGGGGTATGAGGCATAACCAGAGGATGTCAGAACTTTCATTATTTAATAAACTACCCCTTTAACGCGTACGTGTGGCCAAACGCTAAATCAAACTGAAAATCGATGCAGTAGTTAATTCATAAACAGTCTTCCTGCATCCAGATGTACCACCGGATATCCCAGTGTCCCCCATCTAATTTCGTTGTAATGGTTAATGTGGCCATATTTCAGTACGAGTGCAGTATTCAACCTGACGCAAATTGTATCGATTTGATGTGGGCTCCTCGTGTTAGTCTATCACTGTGGCTTTTCTCCCAGTTTCCAGTCACCGAGTTTATGTACAAGCTTCATCGCTCTTAGAGATGAAACTGCAGCGAGAAGGAGAGAAAGGCAGCGGAGAGACAGAGAGGCGAAGAGGCGCAAGGAAGGTGGTGTAATAACATCATTCTCTGTCGGACAGATGCGCGTTTTCTCCACATTGGGTGACATTAAATCACTCTTAATCATTTTCTTATTTCCCGGAGTTGACTGGCGCACCACCTCCTCGCCTATACGAGCGGTCCAGCGCTCACAGCGGAGATTTGATAGATGTCTGGCGCTCCACAAGGATACGCTCTCTCCGTCTTCCGTTTCTCCTCCCTGTTGAATTCCTTAGTGATTAAGAGTGCTTTATTGACTGCGTCTTGGTGTAAATGCGCATGTGTGTTTAATGCTCTGATTGTGGCCGCTGCTAATCCCGCAGTGTCATTTTTCAGCGTTAGTGAGTGAAGGAGATTTACCTCACCTCGTACTCTAATACGTTTAAGCCACTGATCTGTGTTAGATTAGACGAGGAAAGATGGAGAGCGGCCCACTGTGTGGAGAACAGAAAGGCTGGATGGATATCTCTGACTGAATGTGTGTGTGTGTGTGTTGTCTGAAGGAGAAAAGAGACAGGCCATCAAAGTAAGATCAGGGTAAAATATGACACATGGCCGGCTGCCCTTGACGAAAGAGGGGAAAACAACGTCTGTGGAAGATGGAGGACGTGTCCTTTTGAAATAGCCCTTTTAGTTAGAGGACAACAGAGGGCAGACAGAGTCCAGGGATTTTCATTATGTATGTTTGATTGTTTATGTGATGATGTCATTCATATGCTTCAAATGAAAGATGTATTAAGTATATTTATGCATGCAGTTTCTACTGTGTTTGTGTGTTTGTGTGTGAGTGTGTGTGTGTGTGTGTGTGTGTGTGTGTGTGTGTGTGTGTGTTTGCTTGCGTAGGGTTGGTGGAGGTACAGCAGTCTTATATAACAGTGTATATTATGTAGTGTACATCATGAGTTAATGTCATGATGAGGGGGCTAGAGTTTTGTGGTATATCTACAGAAATTTCCAACTCAGGCTCATTCTGATTACGCACCCCTATATACATTTCTGTAGACAGCAAAATACATACCAGGAGATATGTTTTTTGCAGTTTTTGTTTTTGCAAATCCCCCAGAGGCCGCTGTGTACGCTTTTTTAGATCTCAAATTTCTCTCACAAGTGTCATTCGCGCCGGAGGCCGCTATCGACTGACTGACTGTCTACTGAGTGAATGACTGACTGACTGATTGACTGACCCACTCTCCTCTAAACCCAACCAATAGCATTTTATAAACCACAGACTGACCCACCCACCCCCTTCTCTAAACCCAACAGCAGTATTTTAAAAAGAAAAGTTCTCAGATTTTTACCACATTTTCAGATTTGACCACATTCTCACCCTGTTATTCAGCTTTTGTTTTTGTTTTCTTCACCAGACTCGAACCTCATTGTCGCAGTCAACTGCGCTGTGCATCTCAAGTACATCAACATACATGTCGAACTACTGGTAACAAACTGGTAACACCAGGAAAGCCGTCTAGGAATGGTGTCATACTGCCTCGTAACATTCGTTTTAAAGATTAAATCGCAGCCATGCGTAGCTCTGGCTACATAATTTGTGATCTCTAGAAACGTATATAGGGCTACATTTTTAGAATGAGCCTATGTTGGATATTTACAGGTCTACCTAGTAAAGTGACCAGTGAGTGTATATTGGTGCACTTTATCGCATAAATCATTAAAAAAATAAAATATGTTAAAATCAATCGGAAAATCGTTGACTGAAAAAAGACCGTATTTCTGGCACACAATATTGAGAGATTATGTTAATTGGTTATTTAAGTTTTTTTAAGTTTTGTTTTATCATCACAATAATCAAAAAATACACGTTTCTTGCACATTTTACTTTATAAATTTGCTGACATCTTTAGGTATCAATAGGCCCACACAGAATCTGCACTTGCTGAAATTTCTGCAGATTTTTAGCCCATCATTTAGTCTATTTATTTACTTGTGTAAATGTGTTAATTTATATTTATTCCGTTTTTAAATTAATTTCAGTAATATTATTGACTAATATGAAAATATTCATATGATTTATTTTCAATACAGTTTAATATTTTCTGTCTTTTAGTAGATATATTATATAAGAGACTTGCTTTGTTTACCAAATAAGTGGACCTAATTGGATTTGCATTGCAAGCAATAAATACAAGTTAAAAATGTATTGTTTTTTAATTTCATATATTAAGTTTTTAGTTATGAAATTCCCAAAACTATTTCACAGAAAT